CGCAGAGCCACCTCCTCTTGCCTTGTTCTGAACCTGCTCCCTTCCCCTTGGGTCTGGCCGCGAGCAGTTGCTCCGTTCCCCCTCTCCGTGGGACTTCTGGCAGGTAGGCAGTTCCCACACGTCCTTATCTTCTCCAGAGTCTTAAGTCTCTGAATTTTACCAGGGTGTTTCTGGCTCCTACCAGAACATCGCCCATGCCTCACATGAAGTTGAGGGCAGAAAGGGCATCGCCTCATCCCCTGCAAACTCAGCAGCCGCGAGCACGTCCCTGCTTCTGGCAGTCGCAGCGCTGTGGGGTTGTCACCCAGAACAAGGCGCTCGGGCAATTTTCTGTCCCTGAAGAGCGAGAAACCGTTGGTAAAAGAGCCACTTTAGGGAGGCTGGAGGCCCCTGACCGAGCCTGCTGTCTGATCATCGGCTGCTCTTGGCCTGATGGCCCACGCTGAGCTTTCCGCAGCTCCCAGGAGCAGCCCTGCTTCCCAGTAGCGTTCCCTCACTGGTACCACCCGGTCTGCCGGCTGGAAAGCACGAAGCCGCACAGGCAGCACCGCACGCTCCTGGCCACAGCCCATCACCGTCACCTCCTGCCCTGGCGCCTCTTACACCCAGACTAACAAGGCCCTTGGCCGAAGGGACATGTTGCTGCCATTCAACTGCTTAGGTCTCCTAAGCCCTTCCTGCTTTCTGCGGTCGCCGCTAGCACAACCCGTCGTTGAATAAGGCAGGCAAAGCTGAAGAGCAGCTGAAGAAAGGAGAAAAAAAACAAAACAAAACAAAAACAAAACCACCACTGTTAGAATCACCTTACTCTTCTGAGATTAGCCCGCCTTTAATAGTCATGCATGGGGCATAAGACCACAGGCACCCCCACACCCCAAATTTGCCAGCACCCGTCCTAAGCCTTCAGCCTTCGCCCCCAGTTCTCTGATGGGGAAACCAGAGCAGCGGCGCTTCTGAAGGCACCGCAGGTATTCGGGCCGAGATGAGCGCACCTGCTACAGCAAGCAACAACTCGACGTCACACAAGAAATCTTTCAGCTTTGTAACTGACCTTGGAGCGTGCCTACAGCCGTCGTCTTTTTTTTTGGGTACCGGCCAGGCAGGGAGGTGCAGATCAGGCCTGAACCGAAAATGCTCCTTCACCGACAGCTCTGAAAACAAGAGCCCAGCCTGCAGCAGAGTATCCAAAACACAAGTTTCCAACAAGTGCTCCGGTCAGAGATGAGTTTCCCATGTGAAATAATTTATAGTTGCCTTTTTTAAAAAAAAAAAAAAAAAAAAAAAAAAGGATAAAAATCTTTCTGTTACATGCCACACCTGCATCGGTCTCTGTGCGGGAAGGCTCAGGTGGTGCCACAGCAGACGCCGCAGGTCCGGCACCTCCCCGCGCTCCCTGCCTGGAGGATTTGTGAGCGTTCAGCATCTCG